GTTCTGTTCTCTCAGCGGCGAGCGTGGAGGCAGAGGGAACTCCCCGGTCGCCGACCAATCAGAGGCGACGCTTGCAAAGAGCGAGTCGCACGCTTTTGCGCGCTAAATTTAAAATAGACAAATTAGAATATTGAGTATTTAATCTCTTCCTGTATTGTTCTTATTTCTAGATCGTGGTGAAGTTGTTGTTTGAAAGGAACATTAGTTATTATCCTCAACATTTTGGACTGGAATCTTTGAAGTATTTCTAGGTTTGATTTGGCAGCTGTACCCCAAAGCTGCACTCCGTAAGACATTTTGGACTGGAATCTTTGAAGTATTTCTAAGTTTGATTTGGCAGCTGTACCCCAAAGCTGCACTCCGTAAGTCCAAATTGGTTTCAAAATACATTTGTATAGAAAGAATTTATTTTCTAATGATAACTGTGATTTTTTTTCCAGTAGCCAATACATTTTCCTTAGTTGGATTCCCAGTGCTTTTCGTTTTGTGATGATATGTTTTTCCAAGTCAGACGACGATCTAAATAAAGCCCAAGGTATCTGGCTTCATTAGCTTGGGGTATCTGTACTCTGTTGAGCCATACAGGGGGACATGTTTCTCGTCGCGTAGTGAAAGTCACTTGTAATGACTTAGTTTCGTTTGCTTTTATTCGCCACCTGTTCTATTGTACCATGATGTTTTCTAAAAGCAAATTGGTGGTCTGGAATGATGTTATTTTGTGTTATTACTATATTCAATCGTTTTGAAAACAGTATTTCCATAATTTTTGACAGAGTGGGTGGTAAGCTGATTGGTCTGTAGGAGGATACATCTTCAGGAGCTTTACAAAGTTTAAGGATCATTTTAATTTGCGCTACCTTCCATTGCAGTGGGAAGATGCCTCTAATCAATATGGAGTTAAAAAGGCGAGTCAAAAAAGTACTGCTTTTTAGGTAGTTCACGGAGTATTTTTGCAGTAATTAGGTCGTATCCGAAGGCTTTATTTTGATTTAAATTGTTAATGGTTTCTATGACCTCACGTATCATAATCCTTTCAATTGGTAAGTCTAGTTGGTAAGATTCATTTAGGAAGTTAATAATTTCTTCACCGTTGGATTCCGATGGGTTATGGGCAGTTTTTGGTATGAAGACATCGGCCAAATGAGAGGCGAAGGCTTCACCTTTCTCTAGGTCACTTTTTGCCCAGGAACCGTTCCTTTTGCGTATTGGTGGATTAGAGACGGTAGGTCTTTTAATTCTTTGGGTCGTTTTCCAAAGAGAATAGTCACTAGTAGTCGTTGCATCTAGATTACGTAAGTGGTTCTGTACGTTTTCATTTTTTTCCATATATTAAAGTTTTTTAAGTTTTGCCGTTAAATAGTTCAACCGTGTTATATCTCGGGGAAATCTGGTATTTTGCCATAATTTGCGAGCCTGCCTTTTTTCGGCAACTAGTTCTCTAATAGATTTTGAGTAGTATGGTTCCGTGCGTTTCTTAGCAGTAGGAGTGCTAGCCCAAGCAGCCTTTTGGACACACTCGTTAAAATGTTGAACCGCTGCTGCAATGTCCTCTTCGGTTTTAAGAGGGAGATTTGTGTTGATTGTAGACTCTACTATGGAACGAAACATATCCCAGTTTGTCCTACGTTCATTTAACCTCGCTGCAGGTTTGACGTATACGAATTCCTGTGCGACCTCTAGTAAAACTACACTATGATCAGATGAGAGGAGAGTTCACCGTGCTCACCGTTCTGACCGTTTCAACGTCTTGAAGAGAGGTACATTTAAAACAATTTGTAGGAATTCCTTTTATGACACTGAAGTCTACTAGGTCAGGGATTTTTTTTTTGTAAATTATTTAAGTTAAATTATTTTTGGCTATCAAAATCAGTAAATTTCCTCCAATCGATTGAATCGATGTTTTAAATCTGTAACTATCATTTTCAGGTGAGGAAAAGAATGCAAATTTGCGTTGCAGTTGCTGTAAATACGATATTAATGTTTTGCCGTAACGTATACCAAAATAAAATGATGAATAATGAAAGATAGCCGAATAAAATAAATAAATAATAACCGGCCGCAGTTCAGTGTTACCAACTTTTGAAAAAAAACTTCTAAACAAAAAAACTCAAAAACCTCCTAAAATCCACCGTTTTTAAAAAATACTTTCTAAAAGAAAAAGTCACCGTTTTTTTAAATTATGTAACAAGCTAGAATTATTATCGGAAAATTTAATTATCTGGGTAATCAAAACTGTTTTATTTAAAAATTAACTTAATTAATATACTTGACCTTGAACAATGTTCATTGACTTGAAAAATATTTATACAAATATTTTTTTTTGTGACGTTATAATCATTGTCATTATTTTTAAGAATCAGACAATAAATAATAAGAATAAGTATCATTCAATTATAAAAGATCTGAATGAAACATCTGTCTTGTTCCCATTTAGCTGCAAAATTTTAAACATATCCGATGGCAATTTTCTCACCGTTTGGCATTTTATATTACTTATTAAATGAATTTAATATATTATGAGTAGCCGTATATTCACAATAAGAGTTTATGGTGGAACAATTTAAAATACTACATAGGCCAATGCTGCCAATACTATTACATTATATTTTGTGTTTAAAATGGTGTAATGTTTTGTTTTTAAATGTAAATAAAATTTTATTCCTAAACAGATTCCCAAAAAATTTCTCCTCTTAAAAAATTTCTATTGTAAATTTTTCTTCCTAAATTTCGGAAGAAAACTCCTAAGTTGGCATCCGTATCGCAGTTACGTCGATAACGTTCCGTTACACTCTTTAAAATTACTTCCAGCATTTTGGTAATTTTTGTTTAATAAAATACAATTTTCTCCAAAATAAGAACCATACATAAAATTTTTGGTAAAAATTTCCATAAGTTTCCGGGTGTTTTCGACCAAACAAAAATGTTATTCAGTTAAGTAAAATCATTGATGAAATAATCAATAAGCAGAATTTGGCGGTCGCTTCAAGTTTTCGAGAAAAAAAAAATTAAAATATGTATAAATTTACGAATTCACACACTTTTCCAAATTATAACCTTCGCATTATTAAAAAAGAGTCTTTAAAAATACGAAAAGTACTGTTACACTAAAGTTTTCTGGGTGGTTATAAAAAAAATAACCACTAAGGAATATCCTTCTAACCTAACCTATCCATAATCGGATCGGATCGCTCTGTGTCGGATCTGGTCGGATCTGTCACTCACTCTTTAAATTAAAACTTCCTATGTTTGTCATATTGGTGGTACTGTGTATTCAGTTTTTGAAGTCAAATTGCTAAAATGGTGAACTTTCTTATAGAAAATTACGCTTTAAATAAAAAATTTTCTCGAAAACTAAACTTACTCGAAAACTATAAGACCGCCAAATTCTGCTTGGTGAGTAAAATACTCACATTAATGATTTTTCTGTACCTAATTACATTTTTTTTACGTCGAAAAACACCCGGAAACTTAAGGAAACTACCAATTTTTTTTTAATAAATTTATTTTAATTTAAAATAAATTTTGTTTTTAATTTAATGGTATCATAGTTAAAATGGTTTTGCATTTAAAACAACGCCATCTGTTTTTGACGGAAGGAACTAAACGGAATGATTAAGTTGCATACAAATATCAAACATATGGACTTGGACTTTCAGTCAGTATATTTTTATGTCATAATTACGACGGTAAATATTCCGAACAGTACGTCTCGTTTTTCAAGCTAGAAAAAAATTTTAATCGATCGAGAAATGTTAATAATTAAATATTACATAAGTGAACACCAAGGCAAACACTTACTTTTAATAAAAAAAAATATTTAAAACTTGTTATTTTCACTAAATAAATCCGCCATTTTGTGTTTGACAACATGTATAAATTTAAGAATTCACTCACTTTTCCAAATTATAACCTTCGCATTATTAAAAAAAAGAGTTTAAAAATGCTAAAAGTACTGTTACACTAAAGTTTTCTGGGTGGTCATAATAAAAAAACCTAACATCAAAGGCTAAGGCGGGAGCAAACTTCTAGCTTAACCTTCTAACCTAACCTATCCGAGTCGGATCGCTCTGTGTCGGATCTGTGACTCATTTTGAACCTTATATTCGAGACATTAAGTGTACCCTAAGTCACAAATTTTAAATATTAGAAATTGTTAATAATACATGTTCATGAAGTATGAAGTAGAAACTTGTGTTTTTGTGATATATCCGTGTATATATTTGTGTCTTCTTACAACGTAAAAAGTGAAAACGTAAGTTTTTAACTTAACATATTAGTCTATAATGAATAATGGACGCACAGTAATGACGGATTTCAGTTGTATGAAATTTAAAAACTTAATTTTTTCCTCATAATCTAGTGGTTTTCGTTGATTATAACTTATATAATATTAAATTATTAACATTTCTCTATCGATTAAAATTTTTTTCTAGCTTGAAAAACGAGACGTACTATTCGGAATATTAGCCGAATTAAATATTATTAATATAAGAGGAAAGATCATCTAGCACAAATACAAAATAGACCCAGTGTAATTTTTAGTAAAAGTATAACAGTTTAATTTATTAAGAATGCAAGAGATACTCGAAATTTTTCGCGAACAAAATTATATATCTCTACCGTTCTTGACAGATAGTTTGGAGATTTTCTTTCAGAAAAAGAAGAATTCATTTTGCCACACTTTAAAATCAATTGAATTCGATGTGATTGATGAAGAATACTTTACTGAATTGAAGAACATTAGTTCTGCTGTAACTGTTTGTTTTGGTTCTACATTAAAAGATTTGAAATGTGTGATTAGTGATGATGAAAGACTTCGAGAACATGAAATTTTCATAAAGTATAAAAGCCCAAGGAAATATGTCGTCCACTCCGTTAATTTGCCGTTTTCACCATGTCAAGACAAAGAATATAGCTCTCTAAACGAATTAATAACTACATTCAGAAATTTTATAAATGATTTAAGTAATTATTTTCGTGAATTGGAGCGTATTGATCAGATGTGTCCTGTTATTGAACCTACACACCCTAAATACAAAGATGATTACAGGAAAATTCTCTTAGGTTTGCGACTATAATTATTTTATAATTCAAAATAGCAAATAACATGGTAAATTTTATGCATTTATTAATTTCAACAGATAGTAGAACTTGGTTGCATATTGAAGTTACTCTAGATGGCACAGCCACAAATATTCATCTCATTGGTAATTCAGAAGTATGGAGTGATAAGCTGCATTCTGGTCTTTTATCCTGGGACCATGACAAAGATATTGTTGAAAATATTATGATCATATTTGGTAAGATTATTTCAATATATTAAGAAAAAAAATTATGAATCTTTTACCAAATATTCATTGTTTCTTATTTCTAGATATATCCAGGTCTCCATCAGATCTTCATCTTCTGAACCTGACCAAACCAGAGTCTGATGTTATTGCAGAAACAAGATCTTGTGGGATTTGTCTATGCAATGAACTACCTGGCAATGCTGGCATTCCACAGCCACTTTGTCAAAACTCTGTTTGTGGGGTTTTTTTTCACAGGAGCTGCTTATTTGAGGTTCTTAGACAATCATTAGCATTAGATACATCTTATAATAGTACATCATTATCTTAAATAACTAAAGCTATGATTATTCATAGCGAACTTTGATGTAAACAATATTCTTTATTAAATGTTTTACATGTAATAAGTATAAAATGTTTTTTTTTTTTTTCTAGTGGTTGTTAGCATGCACAGGAGGCCGCCCGCCAGCCTTCCAAGTTGCGACTGGAAGTTGTCCTACATGTCTTCACCCAATTGCTTGTTCTCAAACAGATGAGAGAATATCCAAGTAAAATAATAATACTAGGATGTTATTATTATATATTAATAATTAATTTATTAAAAATTATAATCAATTTTAATTTGAATTTAATTTTGTTTATATTCATTATCAAAATAATAATGTGTTGCATTTTCCCTCATTTTATGAACTAAAAAGATTTCTACTTGAAGATAAATCTCATAATTGATGGGATCAGGGTTGTTGTAGGGTAATAACCCAAGAGTGAAGCTTGTCCAATTCTATTCCGAAAATATCTGAAATTCTGACTGCGAATTACAGGAGAGCTTCTGAAAGCCTCCAGGGAACGTTCAGAAACACTTTAATTCTGTTCTTTCTGTTGGTGCTACACCCTCTGGAATAGAATTATGGTGGTGCTGTTTTTCAAGAAAGATGATAACTCTCTCCGCAAGAACTACAGACTGATATCCATTCTGAGCCGTGTCGATGTTCTGCAGACTTCCGAAAAGTACATAGAGCACATACACATTTTGTGGTTGTAGTACAGAAGACCAAAGAGCATCTTCTGCCTTTATATCTTGCCTATGTGCAGTGAAACTTTGAAACTGACTTAGAAAAATCTTTTGATACTATCAAAGTTTGAGAGGTACTCCAGGCCTTTCTACGATGCCAAATTAACCGACGGTGTATACAGGTGATGAGGTGTTTTAATAAATAATAAGGCTACGTTATTTATTCGAGTGCAGTCCAGTAATACAATACCTATCAAATTATTATATCATATCCTTCAAACTTTCCACTGCTAAATTTGGACTACAATATAGTCATAATGGCAGAATCCCTGAAGAAGCGTGGTTACTGTATGCAATGACTTTAACAATGGAATTCTTTTGACATCGAGCACTAAGCTCTTAACAATAAAAAGTATAAACATGTTCAAAGTTCATCATAAGTATGTTTACTTAGTATAGTTATTCCAACTTCGGCGCAATGGTCAATCAGCGAATCCAACTGGGATGGGCACTGTTCTTAAGTTTCTGTACATCTTGTCCAATATCCCTCAATGTTTGAAGTTTGAAGGCCTTTAAAGTAGCCAATTAATCTTATCCCTCCCTAATCTTCAATTACCTGTTCCTCCAATTAGTATTTCTTTGCGTGATGGAGTACGCAGTGAAGATATCCGCAGAAGAACAAAGGTAGAAAGGTAGGTGACCTGTGCAAATGTGCGACAAGTCGATGGATGCAGTTGGCTCTGGATCGTGTTTCTTGGCAGTCTGCGGGATAGGACAATATTCGGTGGACTCCAACAGCTTGGAATGATTATGATAATGTCTTTGTTTGTTAACCCACAATTGGCTTAAAACAATTGGCTTAAAAGGTATTAATTTTAATTGTATCCATGCAGCAAATGCTAACTGCATCTATGGTCCTTACGGTGGTGACAATCCAAAGTTAAGATTCTCTTAATTGATTAAAGGAGCCAGTGGTAAAAGCCCCCACTTTATTGTTTGATTAAATGTTCACCTTTTTGAGAGGGTCAATTTGCTCATTTTTACTTTCAGGAAGTGTGCGACGTTTTTTTTTAATGTACATGCGTGCATTATTATGTAAACACTTATTGGTTACGTTGGTTTAAGTTTAATATTTTTTAGCAATAATACTGGATAAACTTTTATTAGGTCCAAGATTAAAAAGGTAGACTGTAGACAAAACTATACTACAGCAAAAATTAAATTCTATTTTTTTATTTCTGTTCAACAATAAATTACATTGTTTATGTATTACAACAAAAGTGGTAATTTTTTTATAGTGGCATAAGTTATAATATTCTAAAGTAGTTTACAATTCATCTACAAATGGTACAAACACAAGATTTCCAGCTGCTCCCATTGATATTTTGTTCTTTGCAGCATTAGACAGCGCCTGTAATAAAACAAAGAATATTCTATATACAACACCTAATATCGCTACGGCTATCTCTTTAGATTATGGGTAAAAAGAGAATTTTCAACTACTCATGAAATATCATGATTTCATGAAACTCTATCGCCAAGATACGTATATTCTTAGTTATGGAATTTAAAACGAATAAATATATCGAAATCGGCCTCGACTTATCGAAGAGAAAACATAGTTATATCTATATTTTCTGTTTAGGACCTGTTTTTCAAAAAAAAAGTATGTCAATAATTAAATTATATTATTAAATTATTAAATAATTAACATCATCAGACTGTTTCGGATTCGAATTTGAAAAAATATTGTTTTTGAATTCATTTCGATATTGAATATTTTATCCAAATATATCGGCTAAAAATATCTATATTTGAAATCAAAAATATCGATATTTTTTCGTCATCCATAAGTAATTGTCATCAAATATTTGTGACTATCATCAATCCACGAAGAATATAATTTAAATTCAACAGAGATGAAATTAGTTGTTACAATTAAAATTTATTAATGGACCACCAGACGAAAGAATAAAAAAGTGTAAGCTAACTAGGCAGGAATATTCCATTGTTTTATGTATGTGCCATGTCATAGTTATCTCGAAATGGTCATTTGTCTTTTTCCGTAAAGAAAAACAATTAGGGGCGTAGGCGGCGCATTAAATAACCACATTTGATTAGATGCGAAAAATCTGAACAGGACGAATCGCCATTGATTATTTCTGTTCAGATTTTTCTTTCTCCATACTATTATTAGTCTCATTAATGGTTGAAATCTCTGGCGTTTATTTATTTATTTATTCTTAATGCACATAAAGTACAAAGGCGGACTTAATGCCATAGGCAAGGCTTTTGTACGTAGGCTAAAGACAAATTTGCATATACACTGAATCCGCGCTAATGTAACAAATACTTAATAAATTTAACGGTGGTAGGACCACGCTTCAGCTGATGCAGGAATGGGCAGGTCCGGTTAGTATCACGATCTCATAGAAGACCAGTGTGAAGTGGAAGTGTTATACTACGGCATTCCGTTTGGTGAGTGAGATAACAGGAGCCCACTTTATTAAAAGGTGGCAACGCATCTGCAGCCCTACGGGCAGAAGCGGATTGAACGTTGAGAGCGCTGTAGGCAAGCATTTGATTGGCGTCCCTACATTAAAGCTGTAAGGTACGACTGTCATGTAAACCCCAAAATCATTCAACCCCAATTCCCTATTTAATAAATTTCTAGCTTTACACGGCAGTCGAACTCTGTGTAAATACCAAGTTCCAAATATTTTTTTTTCGGAAACTATAAGCGACCAGAACCACCCGGCGCTTATGGAAACAAAATGCCATATCTTGATTAAACCATTCAGTGCAATAATTATATTCTTGTGTTTCGTTATTGCAAAGGCACGACCAAAACCGAAGCCTAATTTCGGCAACAATCTACAGTTTCAACCGAAACCGAAACATCTATAAAAGGATCATGTTTTGAGGGAAAAATAAATATCTTTATATCATAGAGTTGCAGTCTTCGATATTTTCACATATTTGTACGATAATTAACTTAACAACTTAAAATTAATTGCACCTTAAAAATACTTAAAATAGATTTATTTGAGTAGTTAAAATTTTTCTTTTGAATATTATTCATGGTTATTTTAAATATTAAAGATAAAATTCTTTTTTTTTTATGGGAAAAGTTTTTTACGTCCGCCAACCCTCCTTGGGAAACAAACACCCAGATCCAGAACAATTTTTCACACAAAATACTTGTTTTTTTTTTTACGTAAAAATTTACCAAGCGAGCAAGCGGTTCACCTGATGTTAAGTGAATACCGCCGCCCATGGAAATCTGCCACACCCGAGGGTTACAGATGCGTTTACAACCTTTTGAAAATTGGGCTCCGGCTACCTGTCATACTTCCACTTTACGCTGGTCTTCTGTGAGGTCGTGGTACTTACGCGGACGGGCCTGCCCATTCGTGCAACAGCCCAGGGCTGCTGCCCTACCACCGTTAACTATTTAAGTTGTTACCTAATATCACAATAGGAACAGACTAAATATTTAAGGCGCTGTATGCAGTAAAAATAGGTTTTTTAAATTTTTTTTAACAAAATGTATACATTTTATATAAGCAAAAAAAATATATGTTACATTCTTACATTCTAATGGCCCATTGTTTTCAAAACATATTCTCAATATATTTTCTCGATTGAAAAAATCACGAACCTACCTTTAAACGTGAAATTCAAATAATGAAATAGATATAATAAATGAAAAAAACTTAATGAAATTAATATCAGTGGTGTAGAATATATTAATAAAAAGGACTGTTGTCTTAATTTGTTGATTGAAGTAAGATATTTGTAAATATTAATTTAATTCATTAAAATTAATTCGAACGCGATGGCCATAACACCGCGCCACCGCGGCGTTGTTTCGGTTCTCTTCCAACTCCACACGCGCTGAGGCGCCTTGCTAGATGGACCTATGCCGCTCATCGCCCGCTCACCGTTACGAAATATATTTCGTATTTATTTATTATTGAGAGTTTTAATTTTATTAGACCTTCGAAAACACGAAACTAAAAAACATATATTCACATATTTCGTATTTATAAATTATTTTTATGAATTAACAGTATGTTTAATTAACTTATTTAAAGCATAATTTCAATGTCTTATCTCGTGATTGATTGGTCTATCAGTCCTATACATACAGTGTATAGGACCATCATTCTTTATGGATTGGGTTCAAATCCCCAAATTTTTTGTTGTACTTAATGTTGATTTTCTTACTTGGAAGTATTTCTTAATTACCATTTAATTATTGTTGATTTTTTTAATTTCCATAAATAATTACAACGAAATATTAGTGTATTTGTTCAAAGTTGAAACAGTTGGAGAACAATCTATCAGTAAATAAACCAACTTTTAATATTAAAATTTTTTAACGTCATCTATTTTTTTATTAATTTATTTAATTGTTCACCCTAAAACGAAAATTTATCTTATGCACAAAAAATAATTATTTTATAATTTTTTTTATAGTTTGTTTATTTCCCAAATTGAGCCATTTTATGAAATAAAAACAAAATAATTAGTTGGCTAACAAATTATAAGTGAAAATAATATAAATAATACAACTCCACTCGCTGAGTGGTTTGAACTTGGGACTACAGCAATAGTTTACCGTTTTGTATGACGCTCGGACCAACAAGCTACGCGAGGTGCAAAGTGACAAAATTTCGATTCTAGTTATAATTGCTGTCGTTTATCGATACTAATTTTATCGATAAAAGAATTTTATCGATATTTTTTTAAATTTCATTTTAGTTGAAAAAGTAATATAACATAGTAAGTCTTGAACATTTAAAGGATAAATTAAAATTCCTAATATATAAAAAAAAAGTTGTATTCGTAATTTCTGCAAAAATTTTATGAGCCATTTCTTTAAAATCACAATAAAAACAAAAAATAATAATTAGAAGTAATTTGCCTTTATTAATTTATTTGACTTTAAGATGTATTTTTAATCAATTCCTTTTCCATTTAATAAAAAAAAAATAATAAACTTGAAGATTTTCTAAAATTGTTGATTGCTTTCACATACGTTATATTTGTTTGTTTATTATTATTCCTATTATAATATAAAAGTAAAATACAATCATGGTCTATAAAAGATAGTACCCGGAGGACCGAGCTTTGCTCGGTTTGTTTTTTTTTTGGTAAACCATGTGTTTTGGAAATTACATTTAGATACAAATTACTGAGTAATGAAATATGTGTAATATTTTTCGATCTTACCGACGTAATAATAAGAAAATATGAAGTGGTGTTTTTCACAAAAGAAACAACTTTAAAAAAAAGGGAAAAAGTAACACAATAACAAATCGAAAAAAAAACAAAAATAAAGAAAGCAATGATCTGGAATAGAAAAAAAAGTAAAAAAAGAGTGTGTAAATGATCGTGACACGAACCACGGCCGTCTGTTTTGGGGCCGCCCGATTACCGACCGAGCTATTATGACATTTTCTCTTGCGGCGAAATTTACCGTCATATTCGAATGATATTTTTCATACCCTGAAAACAGGGATAAAAGGAAATTTTCTAAAAATGAAACCTAGCTAGTTCGATTTTTCGCCCCCGAATCTACGCACATACTAAATTTCATGAAAATCGCTGGAGCCGTTTCCGAGATTCCGATTATATATATATATATATATATATATATATATATATATATATATATATCATCATCATCTGTGATATTCTGTGTACATTTTCGAAAGCCTTCCATGATACTATTGATAGTAGTACGGCCCATCACTACACACACACTAGGTAATGAATGACTTTGTCTAGCGGCGCGTCGACGAAACTCGCGCGCTGCGCGCCGCTAAGCGGTGTTACCCCCCCCCCCCCTTATTTTGCGGCTTATCATAAATATTATCAAAATTTTACTTGATGCTAAGGTGTGTTTATTATTACATCAGCTATCTGTCAGTGAAAGCCTCGTCCAAATTGGTCCAGCCGTTTCAGAGATTAGCCGGAACAAACATACAGACGGACAGACAGACAAAAATTGTAAAAAATGTCATTTTAGTACATGTACCGTGTATACATCCATATGGATTTAGTAAAAAGCGGGTATTTTAATATACAAACAGACACTCCAATTTTATTTATCTGTGTAGATTACTAAATGCTTAATTACTGGCGCTATAAATTTTATGCTATATTATATATTTTTTCTTTATTTTACAATTCCGCTCGCGCGCCTCTTTGTATCCTCGCACCCATAGGCACATGCCAAATTTGCCTTAAGAATAATCCGCCTCTAGCTATGGGTGTTGCAAACGTCCATGGGTGGCGGTTATTTAACTTCAGGTGAAACACCAGCTCGCATGCAACCTTCTCACATAAAAAAAAATGAATTGACCAAGAATGAGACATTAACGAAATTCATTGACAAGCTATACCTAGTTATCCATCAAGTTATTGTTTTACATTGATTGTTATTATTTTGTCCGTCAGATTTTGGATAAAAAGACGGAGAGTTAGTTTCCAAATTTAGACATGATAAGATTTTAAGTTGAACTAGCGACATGCCACGGCTTCGCACGAGTGCAATGTATTATACTATAAACCTTCCTCTTGAATCACTCTATCTAGTAAAAAAATATTAAAAAATGAAAATATTGACATTAATATTTATACGATACTAACGTCACTCAATTGTGTTGCCTTCCCGGAACCCCTCCACTAACATTTCAACTTTATGGTATGGTATTAAAGTTGAAATTGACTTTTAAGTATTATTACGAATCTTTTGTATGGGAATATAGAAAAGTGTTGTTTTTGCCTGGTACTTCAAGAAATATTATAAAAAAAGAATTAGCGAAATCGGTTTAGCTTCACATTCAGTGATTCATTTTTACATATAAAGATTAAGCGAAAACTCGATTGGCAGAAGCCATTCGATGTATAAAAGCGTGCGCGGAGTTAAATGTACGGATTTTTAAGGAAAAAATCGTGATAAGGTACAAGATTGGTTATTGCATTGTCTATAGTATTAATATAAAGAAGAGAAAAATTTGGCAGAAAAGCCGGTCATGAATATACGATTGGAAAAAGTTATACAGCGCGTACAGCGGGTTTTCCACTTTTTCAATACCAATTGACGATTTTTCCTTCTGCCAATTTAAACAGTTTTCTCATTGTGTAATAATAAAATCTGCAAATTGGCATAAGTGTATCTCGTGATGTACATGAATAAATTAAAAAAAAAATAATAACTGCTTATTATTCATCGATCTGCGCGTGACACGTACATTTTACACTTTTTCAATTAGTTCACTATTTGCATTTCTGCCAATTTCATGCAGTTTTCTCACAAGTCAACAAGAAAATATACAAATTAGCAGAAGACTATCTTATCACATATTTTTCAGTATTTTTTTTCATACATTGTTAACTTTAGCTACAATCATTATAAGTTAATGTGTTCTATATGAGGATAATTAACTTACCTGTGAAATGTCATTAGCAGATATCTGGTCAATATCCTTTGCAAGATCTAGTGGTGATTTTGCACTGCCGGAGTACAGCCCTTGTGCAGCTAAAGACTCTGCCAGTGATGTACCTTCTTCAGCTTCGGATAGTATTTGGTGTTTTAATTGGTTCTTGCCAGCTTTTACGGCGTCAGCACTTAAAGAAGGATTTTTCAAAAGCTTGGCAACCGATTTCACAGCCTGTAATTTTAATTTTATTCAGTCAAAATATGAACCCTTAGTTCAATTAAAATAATAGTTTAAGAATTTAAGGATAATACAGAATATGTTTGAATAGGCATCCAAATTCATCAGTAATTTGCTGTCTAAATTAGGATGTTGTGGGTATGAAATTTCAGAGCTCAATATAGATAACATTAAAAAGTAAAGTAACATGTAAAGTACATTATGTACAGAATAGTATACCCTCTGTACAGAGGAAGCAAAGTCCACCATGTGATTAGCAATAGCAGGTTTCCAGACTTGACTTAACATTTCTTAAAAAAAAAAAAAATATTATTTCGAAAATATACAGGTTTTCTTACTACGATTTCCTTTACCGCTGAGCATGTGTTAGGTCTGTACTTATAATTGCCATAAAACTATTTCATTGGTCCAGGACCTGGATTTGTACTCGGGTGGCTCATTTTATTGAATTAAAGGCGAGCGTCCGGACACAGTTATCACGACTGTAAGATTGATCTTAACGTGATCGATTATTTAGTGACAAATTTTAAAAACCCTTGATTCGATTTTGTGTGATATTTTTTTCTGTAATTACAAATATCTATAAAAATAAGCTACGCAGTTCGGTCGAGCGAAAACATGTATCATTCAGACCAATTTGGACTCTGCCGCTATCCGAAAACTTTCATAATTTACGGTTTAGCATAGATTTTTATTTCGGATGTCTGATTATCGGATACGGAGCTCCATAGCATCCTCGATTTAAATCTACATTTAAATTATACTCATACTTACAGCATTTGCTTCATCCTTAGGTACAGACAGAATTACTCCAAATAAGCCATTGTCTGAGTAGGAAACATTAAAACCAGCCGCTGCAAAAGGTCCAATATTACCAACTGCCTTAGCAAGAGGCGAGTTGTTTGCGCCCCATTTGGTGACTGGTCCATTTCCCAAAGCTGTTGAAGCAGTATATAGTTAGCTTGTATCATATCATTTATTTTTCGTTTACATTCAGACAGAAAGACAGATCTACATACAAATATGTATATATATTATATATGTGTTATTCTGATATACAGGTAGGTTATTATAAGTGTATCTATTTTTATTAATTAAATTTTAGACACAAATAATGTAAAATTAAAAAATTACAAATATTTAAAATCACTCGTAATTATTACATTTTCAAAAAGTGCGTGATTTAGGGGCATGTCATTTATTTTACGCGCGATCATTCATAACTATCATGCACAGAAGTTCGTTTCAAAAGTATACGACGCATTTATGAATTACTACCGCATTGTCAACAACCTCTGTTTTTTGGGGAATACAATGGCAATTTTTTTAAAAAAAAAGGAAATTCAGTTTTTATTTCAATAAACGATTATACGACCAAGTCTGAACCTGCTTTTTTGAATTTGGGTACCTTTAGAAAAGCCACCCTGTATAAGCTACATTATTGTAAAGTTTCATTAGAATCCATTCAGTAGTATTTGCGCGAAAGAGTAACAGACATCCATCTACACGCAAACCTTCGAATTTATAATATTAGTAAGGATAATGATTATGTTAAAAATTGCTTGAGACTATGTGATTTACAGCTGTGAGGCAATTGCTAGCTAAATGATGTTAGCTGTTATACAAAAACGAAAATTTTACAGAATATATTTTTTTTAAATGAAAAACAATTCAATACATGAAATAAAATTAATTTCTTATTTCTTAAATTCAATATTTTGCATGGTACCTAACACACATTCAACATCTTAGCCTTATATACAGCGTGTCTTTATCATCGCGACAATAAATGAACACACATATAGGGGATAACTTTTTAAAGTTGTATTAACGTTTAAATTCTTTAAACATCAATATTTACAGAGTTATTTAATTTTCCAAAACAAAGAATTTTAGAACATCCTTACCTATAAAAGCATAACGTAAAGTTCATTTGTAAAGGTCAGAAAGCATATGAATGGGTTGAATGATATTAAAAGAGACAAAACATACTGTTAGAAGGAGAGGCTTGTAATACGACGTTGTGGCGCGAGTTGTATAGGATGTTACAAATTTTGTTCCTTTTTTACTTAATTAGCTTGTTTGAAAAATATTTTTTTTCAATTATGGATTTTGTTTAACGTTAATATTTTTTTATGATTATTGGCAAATAGCGTTAGACGTGTGTTCATTTATTGTCGCGATGGTAACGACACGCTGTATACAGGATGGCTTTTCTAAGTGAATCCATTTTTTATTAAATTCTAGACATAAAAAATGTTATACAGCGTGTCTTTTCAATCTCGACAATAAATGAACACACATATAGAAGATAACTTTTTAAAAATGTATTAAACACTTACTTTCTTTAAACAATATTTACAAAATTTTCCAAAACAACGAATTATAGAACAGCCTTACGTATAAAACTGTAACGTACAGTTAATTTGTAAAGGTCACAAAGTATATGAATGGGTAGAATAAATTTGAAAGAGACAAAACATACTGTAAGAAGGAGAGGTTTGTAATGCAACGCTGTGGCAACGAATGAAAAAGTCTCTGAATGTATGAATCAGTCAGTTGTAATTGTATAGGATGTTACAAATTTTGTTTCTTTTTTACTTAATTAGTTTGTTTGATATTTTTTTTAATTATGGATTTTTTTAACGTTAATACTTTTTATGATTATTGGCAAGTAGCGTTAGAGGTATGTTCATTTATTGTCGCGATTGAAAAGACACGCTGTATAAAAAATGATAAATATTTAAAATCACTCGTAAGTCATTAATTACATTCATTTGAACTTATCTCAAAAAGTGTATGATTTATATGCAACTCATTTATTTTACGCGCGACCATTCACTAACTCGCACACAAATTCGTGCACAGTAAAATTTAGGTATTTATGAATGACTACCGCATTGTCAACACGTTCTGTGTTTTAGGGAATAGAATGGTATTTTTTTTTTGGAAAAAAAAATTGTTTTTTATTTCAATAAACGATTATACTACCGAGTCTGAACCTCCTGTGTAAATTTGGGCACTTCTTGAAAAATCTCCTTGTATTAAGAACAGAAATAATAAGCTTACATTTATGCTTAATTTTAACTGTTTGTTGCAAATATATTTGCTAATTTGAAAATTTAAAATAAAAGTGCTATGACCTAAGGTATGAAAACATGATACACCCTACACTAATACTAACAAAACTATTTTTCTAATATATCATGAATAGATTAAAACAATAATACTTATCAACATGTTATAACCTTTTGCAGCAACAGCAAGAGCGAGCGACTGTGGAATACCAGCTGGTACTCCCTGTAAAGCAATGGCAACATGGGCGAGATCTCCTCCCATCTCCTTCCTAAAATTTTTTAATGATAGTATTAATTATAATTTGCATGCGGCATTAAATTATGAGGTGTTTTTTTTTTATCCAATAAAAAGGCAATGTCAAACCTCAGCTCTCCACTATAATAAGTAGTGGGATCATCTTGACCAGGATTGGATGATGATAATTCCAGGGCTTGAGCAATCCAATTAGCCTTGTCCTGTAAAAATTATCAAATTGAATAAAATAAAAATGTAAATATCATATTTCATTTAACACATATAATAAAAAATAACCATCAACAACCTCTGTAAAGTTACAAAAAGCATGTAAAATCTAAACTATTTGAAAATTTCATTATCATTAGGGTTAGTACTCGTATATAGTATTTTTAAGTTATTATACTTACTCACCTGATTGTCACCAATAACAGTAATAGCACAGCGACTTGGAGTCAAATTGTTGGCAGCAAAATGTTGAAGCGATTCAGAGCTAATGTTTCCTATCTTTTTAGGAGCAATGAAAAGAGAATTTCCTAGTCCACGTCGGTAAGCTGCCTTGTGCAACAAATCAATTGCACGGACCTAAAAAAAATTGTTTAGAGTTACGTCTCTAACACAAGCTGAAGATCATTTATAGGTGATTTCATAATGGTATTATCTATTTTTAAATCTGTATATTTCTTCATCATATACCATGTATAACATACTAAAAATCTTATTTTACTTGAGGTGGAAGTGCAGCAATATCATGTTTAAGTCGTGGCACATTGTCACTTAATTCCCAGGGCCTGAATTCTTGATTAGAAACAATTTTGTTCAAGTAATCCAGTGCACTTTGCAATTTGTCTTGTGTAGCCTGGAAAATATTGACCATGTGAGTTTGTAAAATATTTAGAAAGATTTCAATTAATTCTTGGGTTTAAAGGTATATATGCAAAGAATTTACATACTTCAACTGTATAGTAAATTAATTCACGGTCACCAGAAGCAGTGAAAGATGCACCAATTTGAGCAAGTTGCCTGCGAATTATGTATGCACTAGCATTCTTTGTAGTAAGACCAGCTGCTGATCGAAGAACATGGGCAAGACCCAGTTCCGTTTGAGGTTCATATCTAGAACCAGCTCTATAAAGAAATGATTTCAATAAATTTTACAAATCATTTATAAGGAGTAAATGGTATATACCCAAAATAATATAAAGCACATAATAATATATATTGCTGAGAGTAATTTTTCAACTTAAGTAGCATAGTAATATTGCATTTTCATAATGGTGTTAATAAGTTAATATTCATTTATTTTTTTATCATTAGCAGGCAATATTGTAGATTTTTACCCTTACCATATAATGATGGTTATTATATATAATATACAGTGTGTCATTACCATCGCGACAATAAATGAACATGTCTAAAGTTACTAGCCAATAATCATAAAAAATATTAACATAAAAAAAATCCATAATTAAAAAAAAATTTTCAAACAAACTAATTAAGTAAAAAAGAAACAAAATTTGTAACATCCTATACAACTACAACTGACTGATTCATACATTCAGAGACTTTTTCTTTCGTTGCCACAGCGTCGCATTACAAGCCTCTCCTTCTAACAGTATGTCTTGTCTCTTTTAAATTCATTCAACCCATTCATATGCTTTGTGACCTTTACAAATGAACTTTACAGTTTTATAAGTAAGGATGTTCTAAAATTATTTGTATTGGAAAATTTAATAACTTGGTAAATATTGATGTTTAAAGAATGTAAATTTTTAATACATTTTTAAAAAGGTATCCTCTATATGTGTGTTCATTTATTGTCGCGATTGTAAAGACATGCTGTATATATTAAGTTTTTTATCGTTTAAAAAGAAAAAAATTATAAGAGAAAAAAACCCGTGCCATCAATCTGCACCTTTCCCAGAATAAACTATAAAAGCCAATATTAGTTTTATATTATTTTATTTAACTATACATTATCATAAATATTTTCTTCATTTAAGTTATGAGACGAATAGTAATTTTATTTAATAAATATTATAATACTTACTTAAACGCAATAGTTACACGAGTAACGGGTGATCCATTATCAAGTGCAGCTACGAATGTTTTATTGGGTAAAACGCTTGTCTGTAGTTTCACTTCTTTATTTATGGCCGGTACAGCCTGTGCATAACCCCTGCTCTAAAACGTAATTAATATTTTTACGGTTTAATAATTAGAAATATTTTGCAAAAGTTTATCAAGTGTTCTAAATGGTTTTACATAACAGGGTTTGACATAAGGAATTAACATTCGTTTAAAGATGTTGTTTAGATTTAAGCTGAGTACTTACCGTAACATGACGAATAAAAGGCTTGGCGAGAGTTTTCGAAGTCATTTTAAAAAAGTTTCGAGATCACAATAAAATATCAAAGTCTGAAAATTACGCTATTGTAATCGCCTGCCTCCCTATGTCGATTTTGGTCGATTTCATTCAGTGTTTCAACCACAGAGTATGAGAGTACTTTTGTATATAGGGGAATAGAGGCTTAGCTCCGTGGTTTTTTGGGTAACTATTAGAGCTAGCGCCATCTGTATTTACAAGTTGTAAAAAATATGTGATCAGCTAACCTTGATTGGTATTTTTTTTATTTATTTATTAGGGAAAATAAATCCACAGAAACAGACTAATAGGGCGAGGAGCACTAGAACAATGCAAATAGCTGGAAAACAAAATAAGGACTACGAGGTAGGGCGAATTGAGCGACCACGGCAGTTATAAATATATTTTTAATTTGATATTTCAATCAAGCGGGCTCAAAAGTAAAATAACTACCAAGTTTTTTGGTAGAATTTCTTTGAAATTATTTTAAAATAATTGTTAAAGGAAAGTTATATGTTTTATACCTCTTAAAATAATTAATACTACAATAGCATTATATACGAAATAATAATGCTACAAAATAAAATAAATCCATTGCCTTATTTTACTACCATTTTGGAAATCATCAATTACACTGGCTCCATTAAGATGGCTATAATGAGTATAAATTAAAGAGTTACAATATAACACGAAGTTTAGTACTTTGGGACTTTTGATTTTAGTAATTTAATAGCGATTTTAGCTTCATCTCCATTTTCGAGTTCTAAAATCACCGAAACTATACTACTAATGACGATGGATGGTTTGCAGGATAGTGTGTGGACTACATCTTGCTTCGCAGTACTGCTCGGCGGACTGCCAGGCAGGATATTGCATGAGCCCCTTAAGGAGCCTCACATGATAATGTGATAACATTATCATGCTCATATATAATGCTTTGACTGGCGGTTTGGTAGTTCCAATGATTCGGAGTCCAATAATGGTGATAGGGGTTTAGGGGACTAGGGTACTGGCGGTTTAGAATATGCATCTGTTCCAGTGAAACGGTTGTCGCTCCAATACCTTGGCCACTTTTCTGTTAGCGATACCTCCATTTCCAGAGGCGTGTGATGGCGTTGCGTTAGCCTGTGGCGTGCATCAAATCGACGATGGACGCAAATTCATAATATGTACCACTTGAAATTTTCGCAACTTTATCCGACTCTGCTGGCAGCTTGCTAGTCTTCAAGGTCCAGTGTCTTGCACAGTTCCGTTGAGGATCGGCCGCGGAAGACGTGGAAGTTTGTGTGTGAAAATATTTCACTCACTAAGTTGTAGAACCATGACCACTGGTGGGCGTTTGTTTTACCAACGGGGCGAGAGGGGGGATTTAACCAGGTCCAACATGGAGTTCGCTTGCAGTCCACGGGGATGGCGTGCGTATCCAAGTCGAACAAAACGTGTACCTTACTTACTTCAACTCGAGCAACCCACTGGGTAGGACCTCCAAAGGAGGAGAAACAGCAACTCGTCCAGCTGGGCGTCTTGTTACTACCCTTGCTCCCCTCCATGCTAGCTAGCATGGAGATGTTATGAACATAACAAACATACACGAGGTCCAGCGTTTTAACCGGTCACGAGGTACCCGATTTGCAATCAACACGATATTCTCGTGTACCAGACCGCTGGTGAATTGCTTAGGTCATGTTTTTATTGTTACTTAATGCTTACTGCGAGTCGGTATTCAATAGTTCGCTTGTAACGTAATTATTTATGAACCTATTAGATTTTGAAGATTGGATCAAAAATTTTGGTTAGTATATATAAAATATATATTATATTAAAATGTGGTAGGACCACGCAATAGTGTCCGCTGTTGCACGAATAGGCAGGTCCGTCCGGGTAAGTAACCACGACCTCTTGGAAGACCCGGTAAAGTGGAAGTGTTATACTTCTGCGTTTCGTTTGGTGAGTGACGTAGCCGGCGCCCACTTTATTAAAAGGTGGCAACGCATTTGCAACCCTGCGGGTATTGCAAATGTCCATGGGAGGCGGTTATTACTTAACATCAGGTGAACCGCCAGCACGTTTGCCACTTTCCTATGGATAGATTCCAACTTCGAATGCCGTCAAACCCTGGGTTCTAACCTCCGCCTGAGGGATCATTATATTGTCTATCTTTCCTTACAGGAGTCACGGTGACGTAGCGGAACGGATGGCGTCATAGTGTCTTCTTCGTGTACTAGGTACGCTGTTGTCCTGAGTCGACAGGCCGTCTGCCTGTGCGTGTGAATCTCTTTCAATGTGGTAACATACTTACGAACTTATATATTAATTATTAACGTAAACTTCGACGTTTCATAAGAACGCGCAAGCGTCTATTTGAGTAAAGATATTTTTAATTTGAATGAAGTCGTCAAAGTCACCGGGCCAACAACAGCATTAATAACGCATAATAAATCTAAGTATTCATAATGTACTGTTTCGCAAACAGCAAACTACATTATGATTAAATAAAAGAAGTTTTATAATCTCTATTTGTGTAACACAAATAGAAACGTTCTAAATGTCATGCAAAATGACAAAAATGTCATTATCGTAAAGACCGATATGGCGCCAAATTTACATGATTATTATTTTGCATTGCGATATTTGCGATTAGTGTAAAGTATTAATAAATATTTTTAACATTATAGGATATTGAATGGAGGACACAAGAAGGTTTTTGATTAATCGTCTGTAGTACCTTAAAATATAGTAATAAAATGTCCTATAATAAAAGTAACATAAATTTATGGTGCGTCTAGTTTTTTAGTACAAATCTTCTTATGTTTCTTGTGTGCCTCGGAAGTTATGTCAATTTGTTTGGACTCAGTGGCTGTGGAAAATCAAGTAAAAGGTTATATGTTAATAAAAAATAAGCCAAAGAATGTTTTTAAATGTAGTGAAAATACTTTGAACTCTAGATGTGATAATGTGCATAAGCGAAAGCTAAATCAGTATAAGCTTAAAGGAATGGGAAATAAGATCAAGAATTTATAAATGTATCACAGGTTTTTTTACCTGCCTAACTACCAAGTCTCCTAAAATTCAGGCATACAATTTATCCTCTATAAAATTAAATCTTGTGACACAATATAAATATTTTATAATATACAATATTTTAAAAGTTTAAGAATGAGAAGGAAACAAAAAGAGGTTGTAAATATGAATACTGCTGATGCAAGTGGAATAAATTCAACTACTCCACTAGATCTTGAAGTAGAATATACAGATAATCAATATAAAAAACAAATGGATGCATTCAGAATGTTAATGGATTCTCGAAATAAGGTGATTGGATGTAACTCCCCTGGAAAAAATAGGAGGGATGATATGTGTAATGAACAAGAAATTATTGAAAAGAAAGAAATTAAAGCAAAGAGATTATTGTCACTTCAAAAAATGGCTGAATCAAAAGGATCCATTCAGCAACAAGAGAGGGAGGAATTGAGGGAAACTTATGTAAATAGTAAAATGGAAAAGAGGGCTGTAAGATTGAAAAATATGCTTGCAAAAACTGGGAAAGATTTAACTAATAAACTGAACAAACCCACATCAAAGGCACAAGAGGAACCATTAAATCAAATTGCAACAACTAATACCAATATATTAAATAGCAAGGCTAGTTCAGAAACTGAATTTGAACCACCTATTTTTAAAATATCCAATTGTCCAAATAGCAGTACATGTAATGAAACCATGTCTAAAGAAGAAATTGAATTTTTTAAAAAGCTATCACCATCTTTGAAAAAAAAAGAAAATATGCTATGCTATTTTAATGTTATTACAAAAGAACAGGAATGTTATATTGATGATTCACAAAATGATGGTAATAATGCCAACAATGAGAGAGTTATTAAAGTAAAATTCACAAAGAAAAGTAAACAAAAAAAGAAAACTGTAAACATGGATAGTTTAGTTGAATCAGAACCAAATTTAACAAAGGCTCATAATGAAAACCCTCATGAACCTGGTACTTTAAAGCATAATGGAGCAAAAGATGGACAAAGGTGCAAAAGAAAAAAAGATGTTCATGAATCTGTACAACAAAACTCAATTGAGTTGACATCATCTTTTGACACAAGACCAAGAAGGATTATAAAAAGACCTGTTAAATATGCAGATGACGTTTTATCTGATAGCTCAGATGAAGAATTACATATTTTTACCCCAAAAAAGAAAAAAAACTCAAATGAAATGAATACAGAACAAGAATCTAAAAACAAAAAGACGAAGACAAAAAAAAAGCTATCAACAGACCAATCCGTAAAAAATTTTTTACATGAAATCAATTCTATTAACTCTCCAAAAGATGTGGTCCAAGTTAAGAAACCTGCAAAGTTAGCACCAATTTTTACTACAAAAACACAAATAGAAGAATTGAAAGCTAAACAAAAATTTCTTCACAGTGGTATACCAAACCATCTGAAGAAATGCCCAAGTCAACAAATGGTTACGACATATCATGACAGTTTTCAAAAAGTTTGTCATGTTCAACAAATTTCATCTACTATTGAATGGAATAAAAGTGTTCCATTTATGCCATCTTTAATCTGTGAAAAAGATATAGATAAATCCATTATGTCCTTTAATTTGCTTAAAGAATTGTTAATGCATGATACTGCATCCAGCTGCTGCAAAAATAATATTCAGATTACTGAGACTAAAACTGACACACTTTTGTATACTATGAAGAAGTTGTATAATAAGTTTCCAGTATATCGTACTTACCATTTGCTGAAAGCAAAGAGCAGAGGAGAATTTTTGGACACAAACTATGGTTATTTAGATAATAGTATTGAAATTTTTAATGGCATTACAGAACCATGTAATAATAGCCCAGATAAATTTAAGTGGACTGATAAGTATAAAGCAACATCAACTAATCAATTAATAGGAAACTTTGATAGTGTAAAAGAGCTAAAAAAATGGTTAATATCTTGGACTGAAACAAAAACTGATTTGATAGTGAAAAATTATTCGGACTCATCAGATTTCTATCATTCTGATACTGATAGTGGAGATGCATTGAGAATGAAAAATAATCTTCTTATAATAACTGGTAAAACAGGTAGTGGGAAAACTGCAAGTGTTTACACTGTTGCTTTGGAGTTATCAATTAAAGTAATTGAAGTAAATGCTAGCAGTAAAAGAACTGGTAAAATTATGTTGCAAGATTTACAAGAAGCAACTCAGTCCCATAAAGTTGATAGACAGCGAGATTTAATTGAGAATTCCCAAAAGTCATTAGATAGAGATATAAAATTTTTGAAAAATAATAAAAAGCAGGATCGACCCACCAAAGTAAACAATCAATCTTCCCAAAAGTCAGAGTCTAAAAAAATTGTAAACATTGAACAACTATCCAGTCAAGAAAGCTTAAGAACTGTTATGTCTCTTATCCTCATTGATGATGCAGATATTGTGTTTGATCAAGATGAAGGGTTTTGTTCAGCAATTTCTCAGCTTGTCCATAGTTCTAAGCGTCCAGTAATTTTAGTTACAGAGTCATTACAGTGCCCTCATTTGCAGAAATTTTTGAAATATTCTAAAATTATAAACATGCATCCGTTTCAGCCTAGGATGCTTGGAACCTGGTTGGACATTATGTGTTTAGTTGAAGTTAACACTTGCTATCCAGGTTTGGGAGCTAACTTATTAGATTTTTTCAAGGGTGACATTAGAAAATCCATTAACTGTTTACAGTACTATATGATGTCCCAAAAATATATTTACATGAAGGAAAGTTTTTCCCAAGATAGTGATAGCTTTGATAAACATGATAATGATGAAAGTTCTAGTATGTCATGGGCAGTTAATGAAAATCTAGAAGAGAAAGCACCAAATTGTTATGATATTTGTAGCTCAAATGTCCACTATTTTATGGCTAAAATGTTAAACTTGCATTGTCAGTCTCCCCTTATGTTATTTAATGTTTGGTGGAGTTTACCTAACCTTTTAGGGCACAATTTAGATAAAAATGAAAGTGACAAATTGAAAAGATGTAATATATCAGAGCTAGAAGTAGTTGCTAACGTAGTTGATACATTTTCAATGATTGATTTATTACAACTGACCACAAGTAAAATACAACCTAATATTACTTCAAAGCCGTGGTTTTCTGCAGAAAATTTCAGTTTGTTAGATACTGAAGATTTTTCATGTTATGACAAAAATAATGGAATTAAAGAAGAAATCTCACAGTACCTAATGACTAGTAGTGTTACATATGCACAAAAAATCCTTGAATGTGGACAAAAGACTGACTTGCAATTTCCTTCTTCAACATTGCACAGGTGAGCTTGTAACATCTTCTAATTTAAGAATAAATATTAATGTTTTGTTTTATTCAAAAACTTCACAGCATACAATAGTCACAACAATTTTTTGTATGTTTATACAATGGCAGGAATAACTATGTTCATGTGCCTGCGACCGCAAGCATGCGTGCGTGTGCCTGTGCGTGCGTGCGTACGGGCGTGCGTGCGTGCGTGCGTGCGTTTGTGTGTGTGTGTGAATTTTGTGCTGC